CTTGTGTGTCTTGCACACCCCATCCCTTATTGTGTTTCCCTCTCCCCATTAAAGCGCACCCACGTGGGAGCCGCGTGTCCAGTCTCTTCTTTGTGCGTGTCTCGCCTATTTTGTGTTTGTCCACACACCCACGCCGCCGTTTTTAAAGGAATAATAAAAACACTTAGGCTTAAATAGTGCTAGCTAGAGTCTGCTGTGTGTCACTAATGCTAATTGCAGTTGTAGTGATTTTGTTACCTCTGGAAAGAGCATAGCAAGCAACCTCCTTCTGGGGTAGACAAAGCGCATGGTGGACACAGCTCCGAGGTCGCCAGCCTGGACCAGACCTCATTGTGTTAGGCAGGAACGCATGTCTAAAGATCTTTCTCAACTGAGTCCAAACAAGAGGAAATGGCTGGAGTTGGTAAAGGCCTCCTGTATTCCACATGCAGCCAAGAAAGAGGACCACTTCCCTATCCAGTCTGCGAAATACACTTTTTAACCCCACATTTTCCCGACTGCCTGTCCTAGTCTGCCTATCTACACCAGATCCTTTTTCTGTTTGGTCTTCAGGGTGGGGATTGTGTTGAGGTCAGTATTTCAAAGCGTGATACAGGATGTTCCTTCAGCGTTCTGAATCCTGGCTCAGGGAAACTACTGATAAGCCAAGCCTTTGCTCTTGATTTCCCACAGAGATGAGGAAGAAAAAAAAAAGGCTCTCCAAAGTGACTCAGGAGAAATGGGTAGGGTGAGTTTTCCCAGCCTAGCAATCTCCTGCACCCCCCCCCCCACCGGCTGCACCCATAATGCACTCCCACACACCATCCCTGCCTCTCTTTTTTTTCTTCCCACTCTTTGGCTTATGCTGCTCTTTTTTGGTCTCTAACCCTAGTTATGACAGTTGATTGACGTAGCTGGCAGTTCCGCTAGTGCCTGGTTAGGCAGAACTCCTCATGGAAGGCTAGCATACAAAACAAAGAACAGACAACAGTGCAGGAAGGAAGACTGAATAAAACAGAACCAACCGGGAGAGGAGCAATATTGTTTGCTGAAAATATTTTTAAATTTTCCAAAAAGAGGGAGCAAACCTTTAAAAGATTGTTTGAATCGTCTGCCCCACCCCCTAACCATCCCTTTCTTCTCCCACAGACACACCACTGTCTGGCTTCTATCTCTCCATCTGTTTTCCTCCTCATAAGGTTCCCCCCCGCCCCTCAGTCACACACTTTTAACAGGAACTTCCTCCTCCTCGTAACCTTTGTTAGGGCCAAGCATCCCTTCAGCTTACTTACTTCCTATTCAGATTGTTGAATTGTGATGGGTACAAGTAAAATCAAGAGGAATTATTGTAGGTCTCTTTTCATTGAAAACCTTTCTACTGGTCTTATTGAAAACAACGTATTATGCTGACCCCAATACCACCATTATGCAGGGCCCAGTACCATCCCCATAACGCACTGTGAAGCTCTCTCATGTGGTACCTCTCCCTATTCTCCCACTGCTTAAAAGTCTGTTGAGTGAGCCCGTTCCCTCAGCCATTCCTCCAAGTCTCCTATCTCATTTCAAGACAACAAGCTATTGATCACTGAAGTTATCTGAATAAATTAAGTCATCTTTATTGGCACCAGTGTGCCTGGTGATGTTATCAAGGTAAAGAAACCCACATCAAATAGCAAGAAATCGGGCCTTGTTTTTTCTTCTCTGATTTTATAACAAAGGATATTATCTACACTGGTTAGGGTAAAAGTTTCTGTCTTCATAAGAGGCAGAATTTGGCTTTATTTCTCTGTCTCTTTTGTTCCTGGTAATTCAGAGTACTCTTGAATCTCCCTTTTCTTGTACTGATATGTCAAACTATAAACTAATGCTTTTATGGAGACCATTTTTATGTACTTGATTTTCTAGGTTTTTAGCAAGCACACCTGCTTTTTGAAGAGCTTTTTTTAATTTCACAGATAATTCTAATATTATTTTAATAGTGTTATGGTCTGAATCTGAATCCCATTCTCTCTACTCCCGATCTTTGTTAGGGAAGTGTTATTTACCGAAGCTGTGGAATGGTTAAGGGCTGAGCCTACATGGTAGAAGCAGGTCCTTGAAGTTTATATCAGCCTGAATCTTTCCACTGTGCTAACTGGGCACCATGATGAAAATAGTCCCCGCTACATGCCCTTACCACCATGAACTGAACTCTCCTGCCATGCCTTCTGCTTGCATCAAACATACCGAGAGAGAGGTCTTAGGTCTCAAAACTGAGGAAACCAATGTTAAACTGAAGAGAAATGAACAGATACCTCACTGTAGAAGATATATGTGAAAAAATACCACACAAAAAGATGCTGTGTGTTATTAGTCATTGTACAAATGCAAATCAGAACTCTTGAGGTAGTAAAACTGATAGTATTTGCCGTGGCAATCCTACCACACACGAAATGGGACTTGAAGTCATCTGCACAACTGGTGGGAATGCAAAACGTCACAAATTTGGAAAGCAACTTGACACTTTCTAAAATACACACTTTCTTTAAGGTTTATCCATTCCATTTCTTGGTTTCACCCAAGAGACATGAAACGATATGCCCACACCATGCCTTAGTAGTGAATGTTCGTGGCAGCTCTACTTGCAACCTGCTTACACTCCTAGTTAGGAACACTCACATATCCTTGCACAGGTGAATGGATAAACTAATTGAGATATCTAAACAGCAGAATATTATGTAGTCTATAAGAATGACAAGGGTTTGGAACCCTTGAACTTCTCTTGAAGTGAACAAAACTTTCAGCTGTATCTCTGAAATTTTCCACTTGCCTGGGCTTTGTGGAGACTCTCAACATCTAGTTTTATTTCAAGGGTTATCTACAGACTTTAATTCTTTTTGCTGCAAATGTTCTTTTGTCTACTGTTGTACAGACTTGGGAAATTCCCACTCTTAGGTTTAGGATGGGAAGTAGACTGATAAAAATCAATAAATTGCATGCAGCAATACCTTGTATCGGCTATGAAAATTAGCAGCATTGAAGTAGTACCCGAAGCTCTGGCAATAGATGGTGAACTCAAGCAGAGAACATAGAAGTAGAAGAAACAGGACTAGAAATTATTCTAAGATTTTTGGTGCAGAACCAACATAAGCCACAAATGGATTAAGTATGAGAAACAAGAGAGTTTGCAATAGGAGGAAAGCTGAGGGTAAAAATGAAATTGAAGAAGAGTTTGGCATCCTATAGTGATGCTACCTGATTTATGGGAAGAGAAGGGAACAATAAAAAAAGAGGACATAGATTTCCAACTGTGTGCTTGGTAAAACAAGAAACAGTGCTTTTAGTTATAAAGAGAAAGCTTCAGAAAGAAAGAATATTGACATGGTGAGGACAGTCACTTAAAAGGAATCCCATACTAGCTTAGCTGTAAGACTTCCTACAGCAACATGGTGATTCTGCATCACCAGAATTCTTCTGTGGAACACTTCTAAAATTTCCACCATGCTTTGCTAGAAGTTCATCCATGCACTGGGTAAGCAGAGATATTAAACTCCATCCTGTCTTTCCCATGGAATACTAATAGTTTAGTGAAGCGTCTAGGCAAATAAACCTCCTTAATTATTAATTACATTCACCATCTTGAGTTTTTTGTGTTAGCATTGAGCACTCAATTATAAATTAGTTGATAAAATTTAATCCTGTAAGGAATCTTAGCCAAATGTTTGTTCTATTTTCTATGTGATTTAATTGGGTCATAAAACCATAAGGCAAGGGAGATGGCACAGTGGATAAAGTGATTGTGGTGGCAGCAGTGTGTATCTGAGTTCATAACCCCAGTGCCCACATAAAAACGAGGGCATACTACTATGACCATAGTTTTGAGGGGGTGACAGCAGAGATAGATCCAGAAAGCCTGCTTGCCAGGCAGCCTATCCAAAATGTTGAGCAACGGTGATGACACCACCACAAAAAGGTAAGCTGGAGCGGGGTAGAAGAGAGCCAACATCTCCCTCAGCCTCCACAGGGGTGAGCATTGGTGAGCAATCCTCCCAACAGATACTCTAAGAATAAACAGCTTGACTAAGCCACAGCTCATTAGTAGAAGACTCCCTGTTAAGATGCAGAAGTGTCTAGACTTCCTGCTTTCCATTTACTTGAACAACAAATCAGTTAAATAAAAACATATTTACATTGTTTTTAAATAACCCTTAGGTTAAAAAAATAAATCTATATGATCAATACCAACAAGAATAGCAGATGTGAAGCTGAAACCATTCTACTACCAACATCTAGAAATAACGGGAAAACACATCAAAGGTTCATTTACCACATAATCTGAATTCGAAGGACAATAAGTCAAAACCCCAGACAGAAACAGGGAAACTCAATGCTCAGATCATAAGCATGGGAGCTGACTCACAGCAGCCTTGGGATGGGATTCTCAAACCCGGCATTAGCCATGGGCATAGAACTGCAAACCACACTTTTGTAGTTGTGATGCTAGGACTTAGAACTGAAACTGAACTTAAAGTCAGACTCTCCAAAGCCACAGTCTCAGAGAAAAGAAGAAGAGGGAGAAAATAGTCCACCACTCAAGGGATATGAAGAAGAAGCTTGCCCATTATCTCCAGGGAGAAAGTGCTTAATGAAACCTCATGCCAGAAACATGCACAGATCCAATACCAGTCTGAAGTCCCATGGCCTTCATAGTCAGAATTTCCTTCAAAGGAGAAAGGAAGTTTTTAAGTTGTGCTTGAACCACACAGTCTTAGAAAAAGCAAATTACTATATATGTTAACTCCAGTAGTTTGGAATGTACATACACACCACCACCACTGCTACCTCCTCTATCACCACCACCACCACCACCACCACCACCACCACCACCACCACCACCACCGCTACCTCCTCTATCACCACCACCACTCCCACCACCATGGAAGACAAAATCGCAGCGAAATCTTATAAACTATGAGAGCAAGCAACACAACTTGCTAGTGTATCGATCACTCTCCTAGTATGCCTTAGGCCCCAGCTTTTACCTTTTATGTTCGCTGTCACCTCTCAAAGGTGGGTATCTGTGCCTTTGCCTGAGGGCTTCCTCTGAAGCAGCAGCAGAAGCTTTGCCTAGAGCAGGCTCCCCAGCTCCACAGTTATGGCAGTAACTCCTCCTGACAACCCTCAGCCAAGAACCTGTACATCCTAGGGCTCTCCCTCCCTCCCAGGGCGGGGGATTGGGTGATGAGTCTGAAGCACGCCTCCTACACTGTTAGCCATGCTTCCTTTGCCTCCCAAATAACACACATGTATGAATCTTCTTAAGGTTGATCTGAGGACAGTAGCATTAAGAACACAATAGACAGCAGTGGGTTCTCACTGCAAGACAAGTCTAAAGTGTTGGAGAGAGAACAAGAAACTCGAGTAAACAGTAGTCAACAGAAGAAGCGCATCCAGAATAGAAATGAAGGAAGGTTGTAGAATAAAATCTCCAGTCACTGAGCCCCCAAGAAATGATATGAATGAAAGATTGGACATAGGCAAGAACCAATTCATGAACAAAAGCATACATCTTGGGAAATTATCAAGAACAGCAAGAAGACTAAAAAGAGGAGAGGGGAAATGGTCAGAGTAGTCTATGCAAATGTATGAAAATATCTAACTGGCGACTGTGCATGTGTACACAAAAAGAATTAATATTATAAATTCATTTTTATTAAAAGTCATGGAAACATGAAAAGGAAGATGAAAGTTAGGGTAAAGGATCCGAGAAGGCAAAGGCACTGGTAAAGATTATGTAAAGGAAGAGCAAAAATGGAAATATTCCAAAACGGAAACAGCGTGAAGTATTCCAGGGTTACAGAGAAAAATCTCACTTCAAGAAACCTAAGACCTGAGCAACATAGATAAAAATAAATTTAGATTAATATACATTCCATGTAAAGTTGAAATGAAACTCTGAAAAGCGACTCAACAAAGCAGAATGCCTACATGGTACCCTCCAGTGCAAGCTCTGTCGATGCCTCTGCAAACAAACAAGAGAAAGAAAATAATGTGTCTGAAATATTAGCAGAAAAAAAAATGCCAACTGTGAATTCTAAGCCCACCCGATCTATTGCTGGTGAGTAAAGTCATAACACAACTGATCTTCAGATGAATATAACCCGAGAGTCTGGCACTCCTCATTCCTTACAGGGGACACCAAAGTTAGCTTTTCAAAGAGAAGACATGAAAAGGGAGGAGAAAGGACAGGGAACAGCAATGATTACGGGGATAAATATTTCAGGAAACTTCAAGCAAACATTTGACTGTAACTACTAAGAAAGCTGGAAAGTGTTCCTTTGAAACTAGTAAAAGAAAGAAAAGTATAATTAAGAATAACTTTCCCAATCTAATATATAAAGCAAGGACAAAGAAATAGTATTATCAATGAAAACAAAAAACAAATACCACAGAAGCTGATATATATATACATATNATACACCAGTGATCACAATGAAAGTCCACACAACAGAGGAACTCACAGGTTGGACTTTCAAAATCTAATCACTACACTTGAAACACACTAAAACCAATAGCACATGTGGGTGACTGCAGTTCCAACTCTAACATGGCAGATTGCAAATACATTTTTATTGATTTTAAAAGGAGACCACCGGAAGGCTAAAGAATCTTATTGTGTGTATTAACCAGCTACTGTTAATAATGACGTAGCCCAAACTTTAGTAGTATAAAATACAAGATTCCTGAGTTTCAGGTCAGGCGGGAACTTCTACTGACTTTGCTCATGATCAGTTCCCTGGGCTTCCTCATGCGCCTGTTGTTGAAAACCTTCTCATGCTTATTGGTCTAGGATGGCTTTTTTTGGCGTGCTAGCCTTTGATTGGCAGAGAGGAGTTTGCCACTTGGCCACAAGGTCTCATCTTCCAGCAGGCTTGCCTGAGCTGTTACAGAATGGTGAGTGAGAAAAAACATGTGGAATGGATCTCCAGGTCTCTCCTTAAAGAGGCACCCTGTCATTTCTGTTCACTAAATTGGCCAGAACAAGTAAAAGAGCAACCTACATTTAAAGGGTGGTGGAACGAACCTCACCTTTCAAGCGGGGGGTAGGGGGGTCACAGCATCCTGCCCAAGTCCAGGAATATCCCCATAGATATTTATCAGAGCAATCGATGGAATCGAACTCTCACAGCACAGCAAATGCTAACAAATATGAAGGTAATGTTGTTCCGGTGTCTGTTAAATGGATCCTTAAGGGTAAGCGCACAGTTGAGTAGTCAGAGTCAATATGTAATATGAAAAATGAACAGGTTATCTGAATCTAAAATAGTCTGTCCTATATTTAACAAAACAATGCTAAAAATCTCTCTGAATTCATTAGAATTATTGTAAATTCACAGTTATTGTGGCATATGCTAAGCTCCACACAAGCTAAAGGAAAAGATAAAGCAACAGGGATGCTTAAGATATAAATAACAAAGCAACATTGTTACAATTATCTAGTTAACATATGTGGAGCTCTCAAAATTAAAGTATACACATTTCTTTAGAGCTACTATTGAAACATTTATAAAAACTGACTGTATTTGGCTCAAAGCATTCTTGATGAATACCATGTGATTTATATTAAGCTACCTGTATTACATCTCTAATCATATTTCATAGGTGGGAAAAATTATGAATATGTATATATACAAATACATTTCTTCAATATGAAAATATAACACCTCCCATAAAGATTCCTGAGTATAGCAGCATAAAAACACATAGATATACCATATCAAATGTAACACAGTAATTAGGAAACTATTTAGACCCAAGGGGCAATGGATGTGCTACATTTATAGGATATAGTTAAAACCATACTTAGAGAAAATGTATGCCTTTTAGAATACCAACCAGCAAGAAAAAGTGAGAAAAATAATAGTAGTTAATGTTAACTCACTATTAGGACTCTGTATAATTTCATTTAATCTAAGAACAATCCATTGAGTTAACTACTACAATCTTTATCTTGGTTCAACAGATAAGAAAATTAAATCTTGGGCCATCATTCATTTTCTCAGGCTTCCACGGTAATATTCAAACACTGCCACTCTTAGTCCGGAGCATGCGCTGGAGAATCCTAACTCTTCCTCTCTCTTTACCTTCCCCAGCTGGAAGGAGGTATCCTCCACCACATCCTCCCACACAACGTACTGTCTCACCATGGCCCAAAACAGTAGTAGCCATGGACCAAAACTTCCCTGCTTTCAGTTGATTTTCCCAGCATTTTGTCTCAGCAGTGGAAATCCTACCTAGCCTTGGAAGAATCACAGCAACATTATGAAATATATATAAATAGGGAGGCACACTCCTTTCTGAAATGATTTCATGTGACCATTTTGAGACATGTCCTTGTTCCATTTCCAGCACACATTCCCAATCACCTGCAAAATACCCATTTTGAAAACCGTCTCTGACCCTGTCTTGCTTTAGATCCCATGGAAGAGGCTTGGTATATGCATCAGCTCAAACATTTCAAATTCTAGTGTTCCATTGTGTTCCAAAGTTGTTACCAGACTTTCTTCTGCTTTTGAATTTAATATTTCCAAATTAGGCTGACAATGACAGAGAAAAGCAGGCAAATTCTCCAGATAACTATGCCTAGGAGGCTCCATATAAAATTAACATTCTTACAGACAATCAGAGCGTTGGATGGATGAAATAGTTTCTGAGAAACTGGTCAAAATAGCGGAACTTATTAGATTGAATTTTCCAGGTATTTAACTCACTGAGGTATAAAAGAATAATAATATGAAGTCCGCCAAGAGAAAGTCATCTTTATTAATCTGAAAAATCCTGTATGATTCAGGGGCTAAAGAGATGACTCAGTAGTTAAAAGCATATTTGGCTCTGGAGGAAGATTCAAGTTTAATCCTGAGCACACCTGTCAAGCTGCTCGCGACCACCTCTAACTCAAGCTTCAGAGAAACTTGCTGTCTAGCCTTCTAGAGCATCTTAACTCACACTGGTGCACCCCACTACACACACATATAAACATAATTTAAAATAAATATATCCAAAAATTATATGATCCATTTAGACAAATACTAGTAATAGGGAATATTAAAGGAAGCGATTATCCAAAGTATGGCAGAAATGCAAACCTAACAAGAGTGACTTTGACAAATTTTACTTTCAAGAAAGATTCCCACTTACATTTTCTTATAGACTTTTGGAATGGGAACAAAATACAAATGTTCTGGGCCGGTAAGAAGTAGACCAATAGTGTCTCAACCAAGGTCACTCTTCATGAATTAAAGTCTTTGTTATCATGAAATAACAAACCAACAGAGCTGTTCTCCAAACTCATGGACCAATTTACATATATTCAAGTCCAATTTCACTATTCAGGGTCTTCTCCAAGCCCTAAGTTTGATACCTGAAATCCCAGTCTATGCTTGAATAATTTGAAGCTGGAGACAAAGAAAGAAAACTAGTTATCTAAATGTAGTTTCTTCAAATATTCACTTAAAATTAATAATTTCATTTTTCTAGTAGCAGCAGTATATGTGTCCAGAGACAAAATAACACATTGTAAAAATAGATAACATTTAGTATAGAAAGCTTTTTTGAGGTCCTGATAGAAGTATATATTGAAGGGATAAAAGAGAATATTCATACATTGATTTGAATTTTTGGCAATAAATCACATCTTCAGCTATTTAATTGTGAATAACTAATCACCTCAATGCCTCCTCTTACTAAAAAAAAATAAAGTGAAAAGCTGCTACTCATAACTGGAAAATATGTCTGTATAAGTCTTGTTTTCCAGTGAAAGAATACACAGGAGAAGTAGCAATTGTGGTATAGGTTGGGTGGAAGCAGGATATTAGTTTGCCTTTCTCAGACAGGCTATCCAGGGAACTAGCCAATTTTCTCTTTGCTCTTTCTATATAAGGTAGCCTTGAGTTGAATATTGTAAGATTATGACTAGCAAAAGGCATTCAAAATGGTGAAAATCCAGGACCATCAGTCAAGAATGTGCTACAGAAAGAGAGAAATCACAGTATGAACTAGTGGGGGATAGAACACACACACACACACTCACTCACTCACTCACTCACACATACACACACACACCTTTAGTGACCTA